TGTCGAACTTCTTTCCCTCCTTCTAACAGCAAATCTACCCACTACCCTAATACCGCTTGAAGTTTTTCCTCTCCATACCTTTAAGGAAGAAGTTTATTTCTATAGTTACCAAAATGTCATTTGCTTGTATTGCCATTCACAGTGCCTTGTAATATTCTTCTCTCTTTATCATCTCTCTGCACTTGATAACTTTACAATTTTCTTCTTTAATTGCCATAATTTGTTGCCTCCTAAATGTCATCCTGCTACGTACCTTCTTTTCTTTTCCATTTTTGTTTCCAAGTTTCTCTTTCGTTTCTCTTTCCTTCGTCTCTTGTTCATAAGTTTATTAATCTCTGCTCCCTCATTTCAATTTTCATTCGTTTTTACTTTCATTTCTTTTCTATTGTGGCTGAGTTCGTTTTGGATTTTAATTTTCCTTTCCACCTGCCCTTGCTGGTTCTTTTGGAAAGTTTTCATTATCCTCAGTCAACTCATCAATGCCACATTTAGCTGCTTAGCCTGTTTTTTTTTTTTTTTTTTTTTTCTTTCTTTCTTTTTACTGAAGAGCATCCTTATTTTTGTTTAGTTTTGTTGAGCATAGATTTTTTTTTTTTCTATTAATTTCTCTTCTTTCTCTAACTGACGTTCAATTCAGCTTTGCAACATATCATTCCGGTATTTATACTCTATTGGTGATTGCAACATTAGTAATGTTTCTGCTCTTCTCTGCTGCAATGAAGTCGGTTTCATTCTTTGCTTCTCCGTTTGGGCTTCTCCAGGTACATTTTCTCTCCGTTCTCTTTAGTAGAAATAAATGTCCATAATTAACCAAGCAATACATTTTAGCAGAGTCTATCTTTTCTCTCACTTATTTCGAATTTACTCATGCCTGCTACATTATTTTTTTCTTTTTCCTATCTTTGTATGAAAGCAACCCATGTGTATAGTATGTCTAGCCTATTCTTTCTCTATGTCGGTGGTTATATCATCATATAATGCCTTCATAAGAATACATGCTAATCTATTCCAATTTTGTAATCATAAGTTGGGCTTCTTACGTTATGCTTATATTTTATTTATTTTTTTTTTTTATTTCCTTATTTTTTAATTTGCTGACTTGCTCGCCTTCTGGGACCATACTGCCCGCAAGCAAATAATAGATAATAGCAACAAAAAAACAAATAAATTACTTCTAGGTACGCAACGAATAGTTATATAATTCATAAAAAAAAACAATATAAACACTTAACAAAAAAAAAAAACTAAATTCACAGAACATCTTCGGATAAACAATCTTAATAATCTTCAAATATAAACAGCAATGATGATCTTCTTCTCTAATTAAACATCGCACAAGTTTCAGGCCGCGAGGAAATTAATTAGCAACATGAGCGATGGCCGGAGAAAGGAGTGGAGATAGAGGAGAAACGAGGAAGGGATGAAGATTACGATAAAGGGGAATAGAGAGATTAGGATGGCAGTGAGTGAGGTGATTTTCATTTTAATATTAATGGTTGAAAAGGTGGTGAAAAGGGTAAAAAGGAGGAGACGATTAGAAGAAGTGGACAGAAGAAGGGGACGAAGAAGAGAAGGAAAAGGAAAGGAGGAGAAGGAAAGACCATGCAAAATTAGGGCGAGGCGAGGGCTGGGGTCCAAGGCAGGGCTGATCCCCACGTTGGCCCTAAATCTCGGTCTCCTAAGCCCCCCCTCCCCCCACACGACAACAACGAGGAAGGGACTGGGGGTCATTTGAATATTGAGGGTGATGATAGTGATGACGATGATGGTGATAAGAAGGATGATGATGATGATAATGACAGGAATGATGACGATGGTGATAATAAGAACGATAAAGATGATAATGATGATGACGATTATCCTGTTTAGTGATACTATAGAAAAATCAAGAAGCCCTAGTCTTCATTTTCTCACCTCGTTTACCTCTTAAGAAAAAAATGACGTAGAATAAGCGCCATCGACGCTGCGCCCTTAATGCGAACATGAACCCTGAATTTATTAGTCATTGAGTCGTCGACGTAAAGGGAAGAGCGGTTAAAGTAAAGAAATTGGAAAAGTATGAGAAATTAATGGTGAAAAACATAAGCGTCTAAAGTGAGATTCCAAATGCATGAGTAAATAAAGAAATAATTAGATGTATCGTCAGATCATGTTTGTTTGTTTTTTTTGGTGGGGTGGGGGGGGGTGAGGGTCGATCCTTAAAATTACAATTTTCTGTTCTTAAACACTGTGAAGTCAATAATAATAAAAAAAAAACAGACGATACAAAATCAAAAATCAGATGACAATGTATACAATACCGAAAAAATAAGTCTAAGTTTATGTATATTAAAATCAAATACAAATATATACTTAAACTGTTCCCCCCTCTTGGTACAGGCAACCACTTTACGTAGAAACTTTGTAGTAAAAACTAATGTAATAGTCTAGACGGCTACCCTAAATCAAAGGATGTGTATGCTTAATAGAAAAAATGAATATATTTTTTATTTGATTTTTTTTTTAAATACATAGTATACTTTTATAGTATACTTTACTGATCCGTGTACCTGGTCAGTTACTGGCGTTGAAGTGGCAAAACCAAGATTCTCTGATGCCATCTGCTAAGAAGAAAACGACGGCCCAGCATCCCGATTGCCACATAAAGCTTAAAGTGTCCTTGTAACAATATCCGGGGTTTAAAACATATAAAACAAGTGGAATAAAAGTTTTTTTGTTTTTTTTTTACTTCACAGTACAAAAAAATAACCATAATAATGAAAATTAATAAATGCCTTTATCATAATTAGCTTTATTGTTAACATTACCATCCCCTTAATTATTCAAATTATCATTCCCTCTATTACTCTGAGACGTGCCAAGGCCCCTTCAAGGTCACGCCCTCCAACTGCCGAGGACTGGCCAAGATTCGCGACAGGCTATCCGACAGGCCACGTAAAGCAGCTGCAAAACAATGAATCGTTAAATTTGGAAAAGGTTATAAATGAGAATGAATATCCTCATAGTGCAAAAGGGGCATTTGATTAGTTTCCACTACATCTTCATCAGAATATCAGGTTAAGATATATTTGAAACCGTTCAAATATATCTCTTGCGCAAATATGGTAATTCTCAATTATGCACTTAGCAATGTTCAATTATGAAACTGCATTCAGAACTAGATCCTGAGAATACGGTTACAAGAATATCTGATCTGATAATCATCTGCGTGGACAAACAACTAATACAACCAAAGAATTCATTGATAATGATAGTGGAATTGGAGTTTAATTTGTATGTGGTTAAATGGTTAAAACAAATAAAGAAAATACAATTTTCGTAGAGAGTGTATCAAAGGAATGTAAATTACGTGGGAAATCGGATGATACATAAACTATATCTGAATGCCAGATGCGACTTGAACTACGGCGAGGGACCTGATAAGCCAGCCCAAATTATCCACTCGAAGTTATGCCAGTAACTAGGATTTGACGATGGATATAGGCAGTACATCGATCAAAGTAGGGAAAGTTATTGTGGCCTTTGGCTGTGGGATTTCTCCGGACAAATAGCTCACCAGCTGGAGCATTGCCGAATAGACAGTGATATATCCTGCCCCTTCGATACAAGATCGAATAAAAAGGAAAAGGAAGAGAAAATTTAGAAGACTATGGAATAAGAGAGATGTGAAGGTTACACCAACTTTCACTTGAACACTAAAAGAACATTGAGAACTGACTGAAGAAAACTGAAATAAGAATACAACATAAAATCGGTTATTACCATGATTTTAAGAAAAGCACTGGATGCCTGAAATTAAGGGATGTGGCCTGCTATACGGCCGACAACCGGTATGCAAAATCATTACCTAGGGGAATACAGAAACAGTAATATAAATTATGATAATGGTGGTAGTTATAACAAAATATCAACATTTTGCTTTATTGAAAATGACCTGCCGCACCAATATCTATGGTCATTAGCGGCGTATTCAAAATAGAGGGATAGGGTAGGACTTGAAGGCAAGCCCACGGGAAAGACGTGTTTTAGTTCATAAGGCGTTGTTTGTGGTTTCCAGAATGGTCAGTGGTCAAATCAAACAAATATGCCAGACAGCAAATGTCACACACCAATATGACAAAGTATTGTGGAGAATAAGGTAAGAATAAGTAAACAATTAGGGTAAGTGAACAGAATAAGATTTGAAGAAGAGGAATGGAGAAGAAAAGACCAGGCAAAATTAGTTGAGGCGAGAGCTAAGGTCGAAAATAAGGGTCTCCTACATTAGGCCTCAGTCTCCGCCTCCTAAATCCCCCCCCCCCCTTCCCCCTCACAGCTACAACGAGCAAAGGATTAGGGTGGTAGGTATCAATAACTATAACAGAAGCCACCTGGTGTTGTGCATGACAGTGTTCACATACGAAGAGAAAACAATTATTCATTTGTAAATAATATTCCAAATGACAATGGCAATTCATTAGTCTTCAGTTTTGTTTTCTTTTTTAATATAAATCTGTAGTTCAGCTAAACTCTATTTTTGAATGTTAATATTGTGTTGCATATCCAATTGCATTATTACATTCATACTAGAACTGCATATTTTGTAACTCAGAATATCTTTTCAGAAGGGCGTTGGGCTGGGTTTTAGTTAGTTAATTACTTAGATAGACAGTCAGACGGAAGGACACAGATACATACACACACACATACACGCATACATACATACATGCATACATACATACATGTAGACTGACAGATATTAATATTAATAGGTTGATAGAAAGACAGATAAAGGGGCAGTTCTAAATAGATATAGGTGTGTGTATACATATATATGTAAATATAATAATGATATTGATTTAGACATGGATTTACATATATATGATGTTGTAGATACAGATGCAGATATAGATATATACATCTAAATATAAAAACATCTATCATTTTCTCTGAACACTGTATTTGAATGATAAATCTTCAGCCAGCAAATTGATAGTTCAACAAAGGTAAAGACACTAGTATCCTTTTTCCTTTTTATTTACAAATAAACATCTGCTTCAGTACAATTCATGATGCCTTTCTAGCTAAATCTGGATTACCCATTGCTATTATGAACACCATCTGCAACAGGATCGTTCTCTCACACGTGGCACCCAGTGGAGGAAGATCATAAAAGCACAGACATGATGTTCTAATACATCTTGCCTAAGAAAAAAAAGTGAACATAAAGAAAATCAACAAATATATCATTAATTTTCTGAACTATTTTCCTATTACATTAGCCAATGCCCATACATATTTCTACTAGAAGTTGTCAATCTACTCGGTTCAATTTCAAATAAAGTTTATGATTCTTATATGTTTAAAAATAGTGAAAGGGAAACTAGGGCTTGTTCTGTGAAGTAGAGGGAGGATAAGATATACAGATTGTGAAAAATCCAACTCGCAAGAAATGTTGCACTGAAGAGGAAACTCAACCCATGACTTATGTTTAAGGTCTGTGTAAACCTAATATCCAGTAACTTCCTCCCTGAATTACACTATTCTCCATTATCCCTTCTCTTTTAAAGAGCTACAATGTTGATAAAATCTAATAGTTTATTTCAAAATAAATTTGTTGCAATAAGTTAAGTCTGATCCATCTATACGAGACCTCCCTACATGAAGGCTTCCAATAATACTGCCCATGGGGTTGCTGCTTGTGCACGCAGGCTATTTCTTATTCAAAATTACAAGACACTGCCATCTAATATCAATATGAATTTTCATGTTTTAGATTACTTTTCCGTTATAATAAGCTTACCTTGCTAGTGCCCATAGTATTAACCATCATATTCCAGTTATCACTAGTAATTCACTTAAAACAGGCTATCTAGAAACAGAAACTCCAGGAAAGCAGTGGACAATAATACAACTCTTCCCTGAAATCTAGCCCAGTGATGGGCAATGTCCACCAGACTGTGCTCAATCATGTAGGCAGGCCTTTACATAAAGTGGATACACAAGTCGAATTCACATACCACTCTTCTGGTATACCCTTTCAAAATTAGAAGTTTTCCCAAATACCACCTTGCAGCACCAAAACTCTAATGTGACAATGCACCATTTATAGTGGCCTTCTTTGGACAAACGGCGGTTCCTTAAACCTTAAAATAATGGACTCAGATTGACAAATCTTTTTCATTATCATTACCATATTCAACACACTATGCATCAAATCACTTCTATTTCATATTCACTTGGATAAATTCCTTCATGGAGGGAATTTCACACTTGATAATGTAAGGAATGCCTTATGGAGTCTCACAATTAATAATTAGAAGTGAATATCAAATAGTTTTTTTGTTTTTTGACAAACTTAGAAATTCTGGCTTTCTTCAAACATCTTTCTGATTGCAGGGAAGACACATCATAGTGGAAATCAGCCTTATTGCTCAATAGCTATATGTATTTAGTAATATATTCCAATTGATAGAAAGATAAGATTATGTTGGAGGAATGTAAAAAAAAAAACAAAAAGAAAACAAAAAATATATGTCCCAATGAAAACGGGAACCATGTAGCCTTCCATAAAGTTAAACCCTTGAAGGACAGGCAATATATGTGTTTAATTGAAACTCTGCACTTGAACATATTGTCTTAGCTTTCCTGCATAAACCAGGTTTCTGTACCAATGCCTCTATCTACAGTATTTGTTGGGTAGTAGCTCTCAGATACTAACATCTTTATCTACAGACATTTATAACATTTCTACTAAAGGTAGGTTTGAACTACACAAGGCAATAGGACACTTTTTGGTTGTTGTTGCAAAGTACTACAGGTACTTCTGAGGTCTATTTTCATGACCATTTAAACTGATATCTTCATTATGAATGAAGACAGAGTAGGTTAAACATCTTTCTGTCCTGAAAGGGTTATATAATCTATCTAATTTTGATTATTTTAATTCACTGTCAGAAAATAAGGTTATAATAAACAATAAGATAAAATAAAAATAAAAATAATAATCTTACACACATTTACATTTATTCACATGCTGACTGTTTTTCATTACAAGTTCACAAGCTTCAAATGTACAATTTTCATTGATTTATTTCATTTTTTGTATTGTATAATCATTATCCCATCCTACATAGTTCCAACTAACAGAAAATCGTTGTTAACTTGTATTCAATATAATAATAACAAAAGTAACAAAAATAATGAAAAACATGGAAACTCAAAGAGACAATCAAGTTTTAAAATAAAAGGACAATAATTGTCATGCATAAGATATTCCCTTCATAATCATGCAGCACTGAGGAACACTTCATATCAAGAAAACGTGCTTGTAGTGATAAATGTCCAATAAACCTAGTAAAAAGAGAGAGAAACTTTGCTCTGAGATAGATGTATTCAAAGGCGGAGAACTCTTCTTAGTCGAGGTCATCACTGGATGAGGGAGGAGCTCCACCAGAGGGGCCCCCTGGGAAACCACCTGGGAAGCCTCCAGGGAAGCCACCTGGGAAGCCACCTGGCATACCACCGGGCATTCCACCTGGCATACCACCGGGCATTCCACCTGGCATACCACCGGGCATTCCTCCTGGCATACCACCAGGCATTCCTCCTGGCATACCACCGGGCATATCTTTGCCACCTCCAAATTTGGCCAAGAGCTTATTAATGACAGCCGACACCTTGGGATTACTCTGGTATTTGAAAATGTTTGAAGGGTTAGTTGAGACATCCTGGAATGCAGCTGCAACTTCAGGGTCCTGCAAGAAGATCAATAATTTCAGAAATTTTCCAAAAATGAATAAAATTAAAGTTAAATTTCACTGCAAATGAAGAAGCAATGAATTAAAAAGAAGACTTATGTGTATATATAACCTATTTGCGGCAAGCCGGAAAGATACATAACACAAAGAAAACAAGAACATGTGAAGCCATATTCTGCTCTAGTCCCTGAGCCGCCTCCAGCTGACAAGCCATTTTGTTTACACTGTTGAAGGTTAAATGGAGTCAGCTGCCTATAAAACATAATTGGAAATAGTCTTTATCATGTTATCTCTTTATTATTTTGCCTATTAGATCAGAAAAAAAAACTGAAGGAAAAAAAAATCAGGAAGTCTTTTCCACATTTTCTCCCTTTTACTTGGCCTATTAGTTCACAAAAAAAAACTCTATTCAAGCTCTCATACTTGCCTAAATAATATATATAGGCTAAACTAAAATCTCTGGCCTAGCACCACAAACAATGAGACTTCACTTCATCAATCATCCTTTTTGGGAAAATTCATCTCTCTGATCAAAATCTACAGCTATTGGTTATAAACCTTTTCTTCACACAGTACTTTTATCAACATATACAATCATTATGATAAATGACAGCTCACTTACAAGAAAACGTCAATCCAAGAATTACTTAAAAGAGCTGAACTAACCTGCATGGCTGCCAAGATTTCAGGATCTTTGAAGATATCTCCCAGGTTGGGCATACCACCTGGCATACCATCAGGCATTCCTCCTGGCATACCACCTGGCATACCACCAGGCATACCACCAGGCATACCACCTGGCATACCACCTGGGAAGCTGAAGGAAGCTCCACCAGCCTTCTCTTGCTCGGCTTGTGCCTGAGGATGATCAAGTAAAGAAAGATTTTAAAAACAATTCCGAGGTGTATGTATTAACCCAGCGACTTCATTAGGGATTAGTAATGCAGGGTTATTGGCGTACATTGGCAACTTCCCCACTTGCTGAAGGCCGAGGTGACAGGGAAGACCCCACACTTTTGGAGGGTGATTAGTCTCCTTTGGCATTTAGGAGGGGGCTTTTGCATTACTTCCATTGATAAACAAGTGTGATCCATGACTGGAAGAGTGCTGGCTCCAGGAGGACACTTTTTCTATACTCAGGTTCTATTTATGGCAGCTGTGACCAGTGCCTCAGGTTGTATTACAGAAAATCTAATATTATGAAAAAAAAAATTAAAATGACACAAAGAACAAATGTTACTTAATGTTATTATCATTACACTAAGTCATTGACTACCTTGAGAGAGGATATAGAGTCTGTGTAAGGAAAACCATCTATTACCACCTGGATAAAGCAAATCAAGTGACAAATTGACATTAGAAAATGGTATAAAAGCTAAAAACGCTTATGCAGAAAAAGAGAAACTAATGTTGAAAAGGGGAGGCACCGAGTCTTGTCACCACATACAAGTGTTTGTGTGGTCGGCTTACAAGCAGCAACAGTCAGAGTACACTCCAGTAAGCCTAATGCCAGTATTTTGGACCATATGATGTCAGTGAAGCATCCGGATCCAATGGGATAATGATACAATTCTTTGGTAAAATCTGAGCAATAATCAAAGTTCTAATCAAAGAGACTTTTTTCCTTATCATTTGATACTATAGAGCATTAAAATCTTAAAGAGGAATGGAAGGAGAATCTAGACCAAACTTCCATGAACAGCTTATTGGAATCCTTCATAAATAAAAGGTATAGAAAATAAAAGAGGAAAGAAAATAAGAAAGAGTACTTCAACAAATTACACAGGACAAAAAGATACAAAGAAACAAATCAAAACACAGAAAAAAGACAGGAAAATAAAAATAACATACAGAAAAGGTATGACTGACAATGAATATCTTCACAATACAAGAGATGCATTTGACAGGTTTCAATTATATCTTTGCCAGAAAAGATATTCATGCATTATTCATATCCTTTCCACATGAATACAGTTCAGCTTGTTCAGAACCAAAATGAAGAGGGAAAGACATGACTAAGGAGTAAGCGTCATGTCCCTAAGGAGACTCATCGCACCTTTCTCGCTTCCTCTTGGGCTTGGCGCACTCTTTCTCGTCTCTCCTTGAGTTCTTTATCTTTTCTCAGGCGCTCATACTTTCGGTTGTGTTCTTCTAGCTTCGTTGCCTGCAATTGTAAACACAAAATTATTTACTATTTCAGGTTACTTAACTAAAAACATTAGGAAACGAAAAAATGTAAATCTTTTAGGGTTTATTATTTCTAGTTGATACTTTGGAATTATTATTGAGAACCAACTTCCAGATAATTATATAATAGAGAAATTTTTTTTTGGCATAAATTTATAGTTTGGTTAATTAGCACCTCTTTTCTCATAAAAAGGATGAAAAATGGTATTTTCCCTAATGACTTTTCTCAACCACTTATATGAACTCAAAATATGAAATTATTATGAATAATGATATCCAAACAATATATGGATATTATTAATAAGGATTAAACCCACACCTAATCAATTAACCACATGCTGCTGTGGAAAATGAATAAAAAATGGGGAAACTGATGTACTCAATTTTTATATTTTTGTGAAATGTCTCTGCACATAGATGGCTCTGCTAGTGCTTAGCCACAAAGGAGTCAATTAGTAGAACTTGTGACCTTACTTAATATCACCTTTCCTTGAATTGGCAGGAGAAATGTATTTATTACTATGAATATCAATGGTGTTATTTTTAATATAAACATTATAATTACTATAATGTTTTAGACATTAGAAGCAGCAAAATAAGATAACAAAATATTTTCGTAAATCAAGGAAAAGGGTAAACGGGCAAGACAGGCAGTACTCATATTAGCTCTTTGGTGACTTAGTACAAGCGTAGACATCTATGTGTAAAAATAATTAATAAAGTAAACTCACAGTGGGCATGGCATGTACTTGGAAATGGGCTAACATATCCATTCAAACTAATATTTTCATAATACACACCCCTAAAAAAAGTCAAGTCAAGAACCTGCACTGTCTACCTTAATTTTTCAACTTAGTCATCAAGAAGTCGAGTTGTTTACATGTATATATAATTAACAACCCTCCCTGAGTGGGGAGTAATAATAGCAGTTTAACACAAACTCCCCATGGGCACTTGTTGGAAACTGATTTATCAATTCCAATCCTAAGGCAGATGTACTAAGGTATACTTTTGAAAGATGGAATAAAGCAGTGCTTCATTGATATGGATAAATAACAACCCTCCCTAACCAATACTCGAACCACGGCCACTCCAGGTATGACCCAGAAGACCAATACTAAACCAACCATACCATATGACCCACTAAAAGGAGTGTGCAGTAACTAGGATCTCACTAGCTCCACAGACATTGCCTATCTACTTATACTACGGTAATGATGGTGAAGTTTTACAAAGTGAATTGCTAAAACAATTTCCACTGAGTGCCCAAGGGGCACTACCATTACTCTGGTATAAGTAGATAGGTAATTTCTATGGAGCTAGTGAGATCCTAGTTGTACACTAGTGTAGTATGTTTGTTTTTTTTATCATTATTATTATTATGAACACGAAAATTAGCATTACTGATTCTGGAATGGGATAAACAGGTGAGATCAGGCAAACTAAGTGCCTGACTCCTAGGTTTCTAAGTACTTGAGAAGCCATCTGTATGTTGAATAAAAAATAATAAAACAGAACTATGGTATATATTGCATTACACAGGTATTTCCTGCATCAACTGGATAAAAAGAACAATACAGAAAAAAACTTACATTTGGCAAGACTTCCTTCAACCACTCATCTGATTGCTCATCAAAGTCCAACTTGCATGCCAGTCTAAGATCCTTTGCTGCTTGCAACCAGTTACCCAGCAATCTAGTAGAAATGAAAAGAAGAAATTAATAGTCATTTACAATCTTAATCCAAATAGTTCAGGTCTGTCACAGGTCAGCAGGTATACCAATTTGAACCATGTTTTTTCAATTGTCTAACTGCCTTTTTATCTTCCTGGTTCTTTAATCACAACACTGACAATGGAGATTTGATTGTCTTCGAAACGTTTGCAATAAATCACGAAGTTCTTTACGGCCGTCTTAGTCTACCTCTTCATTCTTACTATCAGAAGCTTGAGCAGCAAGCCTATAATGACGTATATTAAGAGCAAGTATGGCAAGACAGCACTGGATACCTTTAGAAGGACTGACAAGCTTTCCTACTGCTCCAAAAAGCTGCAGAAGAACTAAGCTTTTGAACATATGTAAACACTGAGGTAATCCCAAATTTCCTTGATTTTCGTGTCCACAACCCTGTATTTGAGAGCACTCGCACACATCGCTCTTGGTGCTTCCTTCTCCTAGACTGAGAAATTTCCAGTCAGGAAAAAAAAAATCTCGTCACTAAAAAGCTCATCAAGGATTCAAATATGTTAAAATCAACACTATCATTACTTGACTATATTTGTATTTCGAGGCTGATCAAAAACAATGTTCGCAAAAACCTAATTGAAGTAGAAAATACACAGCACATGAAGCTTTGACATTTAGGCATTGATTATATATATAAAATTATATATATATATATATATATATATATATATATATATATATATATATATATTATATATATATCATATATTATTGTTATGGATCGGGTTCTTTGTCTGTTTAAGAAACGACCTTGCCTTTTTATGGGAACTTTGGAGCAGAAATATTCGGTGATCGAACGAGAGTGTCTGGCGGTGGTGTGGGCAACCAA